TATAGTAGCGAAACATGTTTATAATAGCCAATTTAGAGTTCATTCTTGGAAAGGTGGAGGGTTGACAAAAGACAAGAAGACTCTCAACCAGGTGGATTGACACTATGATTACCACAATGGGCTCTAATGTGTCAGGAAGTGTGAGGATGGCACAATATAGGGCAAGGTTCAGATCTGTTGTTCATAGAGTTGCTATGGGTTGTACTTGACAGCACTTAACAACAACAACAACAACAACAACAACAATTTAAAGTTTATAAAATCTGACATCTGGGCTTACTCTATTGACTGCTTTTCCTCCTTTGTGTCAGCCATACTTGCTAGTCTCATTAGTTTTTTGGAAAGTAGTCAGTCATTTCAATCCAGAATTCCCTTTTCTCTCCCTAGCAATTATTATTGTTATTGCTATTTGCTTGTTTAGTAGCTTTCCTGGACTATTTCTCTAAACTGTATTTTCTTTGTCCTGTGTGGCCACTGAAGCTTCTGCTTGGTCAGCTTAGCAGTCAGCCAGAACAGAGATTCACTTTAGTCTCTTGATCCAACAAGTTAAAAGAGACAAGCTTCAACAGTTTACAACTCTGCCTTCATCTTCACATCCTATGCATGGTCCACTGGTGATTAATTTTATAAAACATAGTTCATGGAAATGATTGTATGAAATATAAGATGAATGGAATAAAGTGTGAAACACAATGTATAGAAAGTTTATAAGCAAACCAATATAAAGTTAAAAAAAAAGAGGAGAAAGATTTGGGTCTCCTCAGCACTTTCCTATAAATGCACACAGTACATGTGTGTGCAGTTTGTATTCCCAGAAATACAGAAAAGCTTTTAAAAGTCACATTGGAGACTCATTTTTTAGATTTTTTTTCCCTTCAAAGTTTTGCATCAGCCTCCAGTTTTCCTCAACTGGTATTACTATCTCTGGCAGCAGTGATGGTGTACAATTGCTGATTGTTTTTGGAAAGTGCCCAGGGGGATAGAGCTTTTCCCACTGGGAGAGCTCTCTGACAGGCTAAGGAAAGATAAACTTTGTAAACAGGGATTTTCCAGGGAGCTGCCAAGAAGGCAGATAACAATTCTCTGAGGATGGGCTTTTGGGAAGTTCCAAACCTCTTCTGACTCCCCTGGTGGCAGGAGCCCACTGGTTTTCACAGTTTACGGCAGGTTACAGCCGGGCTGCTGGTGGTCAGGGCTACAGAGGAGCTGAGGAGAGGCTGATGGGGATAGGGAAAGTGGACCTGTCACTAAGACTGCTGATATTAACAAGATCCAGTCATTGTCCCTAATAAACACTCCTCAGATAGGTGCAGGTCTTTTATGAATCTCTAGAGTTCTGAAAAAGTTTTCCTCCCACCCCTAGTGTTTTAATGATGTTTGTGGAGGAATAGGAATTTAAAGGCCATACATACATACATACTCCACTTCTTCCACTGAAGGAAAAAAAGTTCTTGGTTGAACTGATAAAAAGCTTATCACTAAAACTCTTGATTGAAGGGTGGAAGCTGCAGTGATTTTGGGAACATCTCCTTTTCCCCCTATCTTTCTTCTTTATTTTATATCAGTTTCCATACAAATTTGTATATACTGGTTTTACAGTTTCCTTCATTCATATTGAGTTTCATTTCATACAATCATTCCCATACATTGTGTTTTATAAAATTAATCACCATTACCCTGTATTTTCAGGTCCCCACTGGATCTTCCCCATTTCCTCTGGAACATCTCCTTTGTCTCTCTATCCTTATTTATTCCCCCCCCCTCTATTGCAAACTATACTGTATATTATTATTTTTAAAATGTTTTAGTTTTAATTGTGATTTTAACAAAACTTTGCAGAAAAGTTAGATTTTCATTCACTCATTGTTGCACATTTTACCCCTTTCTCTGCATCTTTAACACAGTTACTGATAAAGTGTGTAATAGCTTCATCCTTGATGCCTCCTGCCCTGTGACCTTCCCTCTGTTCTTCCTTTGCCCACATCTCCCTCATTCTCTCGCCTTTCCTTCCTCTCAACAAGCATTGATTGAGAGCTCCTGAGGACCTGAGGATCCACACACAGCTCCTTCCCTGAGAGGCCCTTGGTTTGATGGAGAAGAAAGATAAATTTTCAGTAAAACCCACAGGCCTGAGGAAGACTGGGACATAGAAAAGTATCTGGAGCTATGAGTATCATGAGAGCCATGGGCTCTTTTTTGGGAAAGGAGAATCCTGCCATCATGCCCAGAGAGGACCCCAACCTACAGGGCTGGGTTCCACTGGCCCAACCACGTTTTCTCAAGGTGAGGAGTAGACCAGAATGTCAGTGAGACTTCCTCTCCGCTACAGAGAGAAGACCATATTAGAATTGGTGTGTTTGAGCTGTGTTATTGGTGAAGATTGTTGAATACACTATGAACTCCCAAAAGAACAAACAAATGTGTGTGGGACGAAGTGTAACCAGATTACTTTTTAGAAGCAAGGACGGTGAAACTCCATCTCACATGTTTTCAGGAGGGGCCAGAGCCTGGAAAAGGACTTGGGAAGGAGGCCAGTCAGCTAAAGATAAGACCCTCAGTGGTAGGACTTGACACAGTGACTACAACAATGGTCTAAACACGGCAGAGAGGTAAAGGATGCAGGATTTGCAAAGGTTCTGTTCTGTTTATTCTGCGCATCCAGTATCCACTTGAAGGCACCTGACAACACAGATGGAGATTCAGGCCCATGTGGCATTTCAGACAAAGCCTCCCAGTGGGAGGCTGAGAAGACCTATTCCATAGCAACAGCTGCTCAAGACATCTCTGTCGAATCTGGTCCCACCAGCCAATTAGAGCCCTCCTCGCTGGGCTCCTCTGGGACAGGAAAAGGTTTGGTTTGTACAAGAGAAGAGCCTGAAATCAGGATGTGCAAGTGTGTGAAACTTTCGAGAAACAAACACCAGGTCCAGCCAAAGCTATCCCGGGAGAAACATCTGTTCATTGCTGTTTACACCCTCCTCTGACAGACAGAAAGTTCAGGACAGCCGGCGGGGAGAGCAGTGAAGGCGAGGAGGTGCTGCCTGGGTCTTGCCCAGCAACCAACCTTAGACGAGACACTTCTCCTCCTGGAGCCTCAGTTTCCTTACTTTCAACGCAGAGATAACGGCACATTGTTTGATTGCATTGGTGTGTGTGGAATACATGAACTGAAGGGCATGAAGGGGTTCTCCAGAATTCCTGCTTTTACTGTAAACCATAATTCTAATGGGACTTTTGAGTATGTTGAGTAAATGGAATAATTTCATTCATTGTTCTAAAAAAAGTTACTATGTATTCCTCATGTCTTTCCAAAGGGACGTCAGGAGCCTGCAATAAAACATTTTACGAGGGTAGAAAACTGGAGCTGAGTGATGAAGTGTGTACTTGGAAGCATGGTGATGCGGAAGGGTGTCACACGCACGACCCAGACTAAAGGAAGCTCTAGCAGCTGAATCCCAACCAGCCTCAGCTTTTGCAAGTCCAAGCCCAGAGAGAAACAGTGTGTGTGTGTGAGTGTGTGCATGCATGTGTGCTCGCTCGCATGTGGGCTCCTATCAGCGAATCCTACAGTTTATTTGGAGGTTCTTTATAAAAAGAAGGATTCCTGGGGGTACAGTGGTCAAAGTCCTAGACTGCTAACCAATAGATCAGTAGTTTGAATTCATCAGCTGCTCCTCCATGGGAGAGAGATGCGACAGGCCCCTTTTTTCAAGATTTATAATGTTGGAAAGCCCGTGGTGCATTTCTCTGTCTTATAGGGTCACTATAGGTCAATAGGATGATGATGAGGACGGCGCAGGGCAGGGCACCGATCTGTAGTTTATAGGGGTGCTATGGGTTGGGATCAACGTGGAAATGTAAGAACAACGGGTCAATATTCGCTTGATGACAGTAGATTTGGTTTATGTAAGAACAAATGGGAATAAGCAGTAAGAAGCCTGGCCCCTGGGAGAAGGCTGTGCTCCGTGAGAACCTGCCCGGATTTTCAGGGCCCATGAGTGCCTGGGTCCTTTGGGTGATGAGTCCATCCTCTTGTGAAGTTTCCTAGATGGTCTGTGCTTAGGTGTTAATCAAGAGGTTGGTGGTTGAAATCCACCCAAAGGTGCCCTGGAAAATAGCCTGGCAATTTTCTTCCCTAAGATTACAGTCATGGCAATCTCTGAGGCACGTAGTTCTACTTTGCAACACACAGGGTCGTGAAGAGTCAGAGTTGGCTCAGTGACAATGGATTTGGGTTGTGTTTGTGCAGGCCCTATGTGCTCTCCCACTTCTTCCCTGGTTCATACCCACTCTGGCCAGCACAGCCCAGACGAGGAGATTGAGGTGGCTGTGGCTCAGTGCAGGACAAAGCTGAGAAGACAGGACAGCTGCCTCCTCAGGGACACCGCTTTGAGGGAATGGGGACACTACAGGAGGCATATGAAAGGAAGTTCATTTTAGTCTAAAAAGCTTGAAGACTTTTACATTGGGAAGAGATGGGGTGAAGACAGGAAGCTCAGGAGCACTGAGTGCAGGGCTACCTAGAGCAGGTTCCAGGGCAGAGCAGCAGATGGTGAGAGAGAAGGGACAGCAGGATAGGTCAGATGGAATAAATTACAGGCATCTTCCCTGGGCGGTCCAGCTCTCTAAGAAGGAGAATGGACCAAAGGTGGGGAAGAAGAGGAGAGACATCCAGAAGAACTGGTATCTTTGCCGAGGGACTCATCACCAACTCCCGCAGAGAGGGGGTGTGTGGACTGATTGTTTCCAAGGCTGACAATGAGATTCAGGGATTGGCTGGGGGCACTGAGAGGATAGTCACTGAAGCTGTGGATGTTGGGAAACCAAGAGAAGTCACCGCTGGGTGCTGGGGATCCAAGCACAATGGCTGGAATTAGAGGGAGAATAAGATCTGAGTCAAGACATGGCTACTGGGGAGAAGGGGACAGATATCTACACCAGGTCTGGGTCAGTGGTGGATTTTTTGCCTCAGTTTATGAAATGAGAAAATCTGGACTCACCAGGATCGCCTCTTCGTCCAGGTTTGCCACGCCGTCCAGGAGGACCTAGACAGGAAGACAAGGCAGATGACTGTTATTTTTTAAATTAATTTTAATGGAAGTTTACAGAGACTTAGGGTTTCCAGTCATTCATTATTTCACTATTTTCCCTGCCCATCCCTCCCCCCAAGTCCACTCCTCTGTTCAGCCTTCACTCTGGACTTCCGTAATGACAACAATACCCAATCACATATCCCTTTTAAACAGATATCTCCCTCATCTGTTTCAATGCAATATACATCATTCCTCCCCTCCTTCTCTGTCTTCCCTCAACTCCGATGTCAGTCTCGCTTTACAACAGTGACTCTATGCAGTATTTGTCCTTTTGTGACTGAGATATTTCACTCAGCATAGTGTCCTCTAGAGTCACCCATTTTGCATAATATTTCATGAGTTCTTTGTTTTTCAGAGCTGCATAATATTCCATTGTGTGAATATACCAGAGCTTCTCTATCCATTCATTTGCTGATGGACACTTGGGTGTTTCCAGCTCTTTGTTATTGTGAACAAAGCCGCAATAAATGTGAGTGTGCGTATATCTGCTTGGGTGGCAGTTATGGGTATGGTTTTTTTAGGGTAGATTCCCAGTAGTGGAATTGCTGGGTCAAATGGTATTTCTATTTGCAATGTTTTGAGAAAGCAGGCAGATGGGCTTGTTGAGAAGGAAGACAGTGGACTTGGCTCAGCTCCCTCAATCTACAGAGCTTGCCCAGCTCACCCATGTTCACCATGCAATAGTGTCTTTGGGGGCAGCTTTCTCACTGTGCGCTCCCTGCTGGCTGATGGAAAGATGAGGAAAAGGAGATCTCCCTTTCTTCTGGGCTACTGAGCCCTGTTCCTCTTCCCCTGTCCTTGTGACTTGCCTTCCTCACCCATCATTCATTCACTTAGTTGCTTAAGTATCTGTTCATTTATTCATTCACTAGTATACCAATCTAGTCTTAAAGCAGTCCTTTCATAGTAAAAAATGTTTTTTTTAAAAATTATATTTTTTCTTCATTTTTATTGTATTATTTTTTACGTGTACCATCAAATCAGATCTGACTGGTACAGGAGGAGATTTCCCCCTCCTTCTCCAGCAGAGCATCTGGTGGATTTGAACCATGTACCTCTGGGATTACAGTGCAGTGTCTTGTCACTAGGCCACCAGAGCTCCCTTAGAGTAAAAAACTTTTACTACCCCGAGACTCTTGGGGTGGAAGAGTCTGCAGCTCAGAAACTTCAGACTTGGGAGAAAAACAAGGCTGAAAGTGGGACAATCTTACAAAAGCCCTGACAAATGCTGTCCAATATTTGCTAAAATAAAACAAGACGTGGTAGAATTCAGTGGTAGTGTTCTCATCTTTCATGTAGGAGACCCTGGTTGATTCCCAGCCAATACACCTCCTGCACATCTGCCCCTGGCGATCAGTGGAGGCCTGAGGGCTGCTGAACAGGTCTCAGCGAAGCATCCAGAGTTAGAGGGATGCTATTTGAGATCATCAGCCAGGATCATAGCAGGCTGATCAGCAACCAATCACAGGGATTGTTGCAGAACGAGGCAGTGCTCTGTCCCACTGTGCGTGGAGGTGATTATGAGTTGAGGGTGGACTCAATGGTAGTTAGCAACAAAAGAAAGCAGTATAGACAGTACACCAAATAACATCATCACATCCTTTTGTGCATCCTTTCTAATTCTATGCTGTGGAGTTGGCGCTGAGTCATAACGACTCTCTGGACAACAGGATGAAACACTGCCTGGTCCTGCACCCCCCTCACAGTTGTTGTTATGCCGAGACATCAAAGTAGGCACTGAGTCTCTCCGTCTCCTTGACTAACCTCTTCTTTTTCAGGGACCTCCTCCTTTACCAAACATGATGCCTTTTTTCTGGGGTCTGGCCCTCCTGATAATATATCCAAGTATGTGAGATGAAGTCTTGTCACTCTCACTTACTAGGATATTCAAGGCTGTACTTTGTCCAAGATAGATTTGTTTGTTCTTCTGGCAATTCAGTGTATAGTCAAGCTTCTCTCCGCCCCCCGCCCCCCCCCAGCACCATAAATCATGCTATTACAGATTATTAAAATCAGTAATAATACACTGCCCATCTACTTTCCTTTTTCTCTCACCAGAACTTTCCATACCTCCTTTCCCTAAAGTTCCAGAGAGGTGCTTATGAATATGTCGTGACTTATTGCAGATAGAATGCACACACTCATTCTTTTCCATACTCAGACTTCCACCCACATGTTTTAAGCCTTTCTAAATGTAAAATCCAGGCCATCCTGGCTCTACCCTCTACCCCACTGCTCCACCACAATGCCTGAGACATGCGGATCCACAATGCTGAACAAGTAAAGTGCCTTGGTGACTGGAGACCTGGCCAGCCTCCTCCCAGTCAGAGGTCCGTGCCTTGGCTGTGTCAGGACGTCCTGGGCCCCAGCCCCTTTCAACCGTGTCTCCCCTCATGATGCTGGAGTGGGGGGTGTCAGGCCTTGATGAATGCTCTCTATCCTGGTCTCCTATCCTGGAACTTGCTGGAAATATTTCTGATGTCCATTTGACTTCAACTCTGCCTCCATTTCCATCCCTTTATTTCTGAATCTAGCTACTATCACACAATTCTCTCATTTTTCTCAACTGTCAGGGAGTGCTGGCCGCTTAGCCCTCAGTGAGTCGTGGTGTTAACCCAAAGGTCAAGCCTCTCTGGCAGTTCAAATCCAACAGCTGCTCTGAGGAAGAAAGATGGGCAAGCTGCTTTTCTGTGATTTACAGCCATGGAAACCTGAGTGGGCTCTGACCCACGGCAAGGGAGGAGGGGCAGAAAGTTTGCTGAAGTCAAGTTGCATATGCTAGTTGCTGCCAAGTCAGCTCTGACTTATCTATGCTGACATTTTCCCCCATGAGATCAAAGATGACTTATGAATAAGGATGACAGAAGAAGAATTGATGCCTTTGAGCTGTGGTGCTGGAGAAGAGTGCTGAACATCCAAAAGAACACACATATGTCTTGGAGAGGGTGAAGCCAGAGTGCTCCTTGGAGGCAAAGATGATGAAGCTTCATCTCACATACGTTGGGCATGCTGTGCTAGGAAGGGCTATAGATTGGAAAAGGACATGAGGCTTAGAAAGGTGGCAAAAGAGAGGACAAGTAGGGCAGAAAAGCAGAAGCAGCCTTGGTCAGAGGCACTATCTCACTTGGTTAAGAGGGAGCATAGGGAGTTCTCGTGAGGTAGACCATGGGGAATTGTGCTGTTTACCCAAAAGTGGTGCCACTCGGCTGGTTCAAATCCGCTAGCAACTCCATTGGAGAGAGCTAGACAATCTCCTACCGTGTGATTTACAACCTCTGAAAACCTGCTGGAGGGTCAGCTCTGAGTCAGTTCTGACTTGATGGCACTGAGTTTGAATGAGTGAAGCCATTTCTCTAGGTGCTCTGAATCAGGAGAGGAGAGTGTATTCATTTCCTAGGGCTGCAATAACAGCATGCCACAAACTAGGTGGCTTCACAGAACAGATATTTATTGTCTTAGAATTATGGAGGCCAGAGGTCCAAATCAACACAGCAGCCAGGCCACACTTTCTCCAAAGGCTCAGGGAATGATCCTTCTTTGTTTCATCCAGCTCCTGGTGATCCCAGGTGTTTCTTGGCTAGTCACATTATCACATCACCTCTTTTATATGGATACCACACAGATGGGAGTAGGGCCCGTCCTCCTCCAGTATGTGGTTGTGTGCCTTCATCTGCCTACTCATGGTGACCCATTCAACAGTGTAGAACTGCCCTGTAGGGTTTTCTAGGATGTAAACGTCATGGTGACATAGTCCTTAGGGAGCAGTGGGAGCAGTTGCTTTTCATTTCAGTTTATAGCTTTGGAAACTCAAAGGAGGTTTGCTCTGAGTCAGAACCAATTTCATGGCAGTGAGCTTTTTTGTGGATAATCTTTATGGAGGCAGATTTACTATACTGCTTTCTCCCACCGAGCTGCTGGGTGGGTTTAAACTGACAACCTTTCAAATAGGAGCTGAGTGTTTCTTTGTTGCCCTAGCAGAGCTCTTTATACTCCAGTAAGACTTTATGTTAATGCAACAGATGAGCTCTCCAAATACCTCAATTCCAAACAAAGACCATGCTTATAAGCACAGTTAGGATTTCTACCACCCTCTTCTGGGACAATTCTGTCCATAACAGAGGTTTTCCGAGAAACAGTGAGAGAGAATGTGAAGAGAGAACTGGGGCCTCTGTGAATCCCAGCGAGGTCCCTTAGTGTTAAGTATGTGATCCTGACACACGCTCAGGGGTGAAGTGAGAATGACTTTATTGTTGTCCTGGTGAAATCGTGGCTTGCAATCAGGATTCAAGTTTAAAAATTAAAAACAGGATATTTCATGCACCGCTGAGTTTTTTGAGGAAGAAATCCATTTCAGTTTCATGGTCCCGGCTTTTCCCTGATCCTGGACACAGATTTTTGTGGTGGAATGACCCAGGGCTGCGTGGACATGAGAGGCTGGGATCCCTGGCCTTCCCTTAACAGATTCTGGCTTTGCCCACCTAGGTGGGCTCCACAGCATATGAGACACCTCCGTGTCCACTGCCAGGGCCAACCAGGCTTCGCAAGCATCATGGCCTGTCATGGCCAGAGCACATGGCTTAGTTTCTGCCCCAGTTACTGAGTCTGGGCCAATAGTGCTGCAGCCTAATGGGGCTGGACTGTGTTTGGAGAGCTAGTCAGCACGTGGTCTTAGGGCGAGTGAGGGTGCATGGACAGGGGCCCTTTCAGTATACATAGCATTGTGTCCTCTGCTCACAAGAGAGAGGACTTCTTACTGGTTCTCAAGGACCAGTGATCTGGCCTCTTGTTTCTGGGCTCTGGTCAGGCCACTGGAGGCCAGAGCTCAGCTCAGTGGGGCTGGGCCTGCCTTGGGTGGAGGTGGGATAAGTGCAAGACAGGTCATAGTGGAGAGTGACCTGGCCTGGCCTTGCACTGGGAGTGGAGCAGCATGGAGGTCTTCTGATGGCCATTAC